TGACGATGACTTCGGACAACAGGCAGAACTCAGTATCGAGGGACTCGCGGTAAAGGCGGATTACAACTGGGACTCTGCAACGACGATCAAAAGATACTGTAGTCTATGGTTGCGGCAGCATTGGATAAATAGGACGAGGAAGTTTCAAATATGTTCTTTATTGGTGGGCCAGGGGGAACGGGAAAGTCATTTTTGTACAATACTTTAATTGCCCACATCCGAGGAAGGGGGGAGAAAGACGTAATCGTGGTCGCTTCGTCGGGAATCATCGCACAAACCCTGGAAGGAGGCCGTAAATCCATTCGACCTTCAAGGTTCCCCTCCAAATCATGGAGCACTCAACGTGCAATATTCCTGTGCAGTAGGGAATGGTAACAAGGATCTGAGAATCAGATGCAGTCTTTTGGGATGAGGCACTGATGCACCACCCGCATATCTTCGAAGCAGGGGATGCCACTTTCCGCGACACCATGCAAAAGACGGACACGCCTTTTGGCGGCAAGGTTGCCGTATTTGGGGGAGACTTCCGTCAAGTCTTGCCCGTTGTGCCTCGAGGAACACCTGCCCAGATTGGGGGTGCTTGCCTCGAGAACTCTCGAAAAATCTGACCGCATGTGCAGACTCTAACTCTTAGAGAGAACATACGAACAAAGGCTGACCCGTTAGGCCAGTCTTTCACAGAGTGGTTTCTCCGTACTGGTAACAGCACAGAGCCAACTTTCACTCCAGGTCCGCATGGCGATTTGATCAGGATACCAGACCAGTATGTGTTCAACTCAGCCAATCCCGTAACCGAGAACAACCCGTCTGAAAGGCAGTTCATCAGGGAGATTTATTCAGACACTGAGATCGCCCCCCAGCAACTAGATATTTTTAAAAGGCCGGGCAATATTTACGACATTCAATGTCGATGTAGACAGAATCAATTTTATGGTAACTCAGATGCTTCTTAATGGGAGACAAGGCGAAGGGAAGGTTTATAACAGCCAGGACATAGCGGACGGCGTGTACACTGCCGCTTATCCTGTAGAGTGCCTGAATTCCGCCCAACTTTCCAGGTATGCCTCCGCATGTGTTACTGTTGAAGATTGGCCAGCCTATCATTTTCCTTCGAAATATGTATGGAACATCAGACCTCTGCAATAGCACTTGATTGGTCGTTCGGGCACTCCACCAGAGATACCTAGGCGCAGAGATCCTTCATGGCGTATACTACTCACGACCATGGACGACGGAAGTGCGCCAACCAAGTTCACTAGGCGACAATTCCCTGTCAAGGCCGCATTTGCCATGACCATCAACAAGACGCAAGGGCAGAAACTTCAGCACGTTAATGTTTACCTCTCTCAGCACGTTTTTGGTGCTGGGCAACTATATGTCGGCTTCTCGCGTTGCACACACCGATATTTTTTTTTTTTTTTTTTGGCGATAGCCGCTAGCCGAGATACTGTTTTCCAGCAATACTCTTACTATACAAAGAGTCTTATTCTCTTTTGTTTAGTGTACAATTCATTCTTACTATTGCTTCTTGACTCTAAACACATACAGCTAGTGCTTTTTTTTTTTTTTTTTTTTTTTTTTTACGCTTGGTGTTACAATAGGCAATAGAGAGGCGTATGAAGGACGACAGCACAAGAATGAACAGGAAAAAAAGGGCTCCTCCACAAAAGCTAGTCTAGTTCCACAATCTTTTCCGGACACATGCTACCAATGCAATGCAACACAATACAATGCAGCACAGTACAATGAATTACAACTTAATATGATACAGTTCAATGCGATATAGTCCAATCGGATATAGCAGATAAAGGAACAGATAGAATGCAGAGGGAATGAGTTGAAGCCGAGGTAATTTACTTTACTGCAAGACATTTACAAAAAAAAATATTGCCTGAGCAAACGAAATGACCATGAACGCTTAAGAAGCAAGCGCCTAAGTTCCGTAGGCGTAGTCTAGCATCCATTGGAGATTCATGAGCAAGTGCGTGCAGAACTATAAAGTTAATCTTGACCATTTTTTTTTTTTTGTACGAGAGAACCAAGGGCTAAAGCTCTCCGCGTAGATCGAGCGACTCGATCGGCCGCAAACCAACCGTAGGTCGTATGCAGGGCCAGGACTTAGGATACTCTCTGCCGTACTTCTGTTCTTTCTTTTGTTCTTTTATTTTAATGGCATTTCAGCACATCTCATTTCATCCAATACAACAGCGCTAAGGCAGAAGAATGAGGTCGTAACATCCATTGAAATAAATTATTCAATATAGATTTCTGGAAGGCGGAAGGGAGAAAGGTCTTTGTACGTAATTAGAGATTGGAGATGAAGATGAAGATGAAGAATAAATACGGGCAATACGGGCCTATATTATGTGGAAGGAACCACATCTTTAGAGAACGTTATGCATTTCTATCATGGCATCACCGCGCTCACACCGGATTCAGCACTTCTGGTGTTGGAGACGGTGTTACTGTCGTTGTCGTTGTCGTTGTCGTCGTCGGCGTTGGCTCGGGATTGGGTGCTGCTGACGCAGTCGTGGATGGGGTCGTCGAGGAGGGGTCCGTCGGGGCAGTAACGGTCGACGTGGGCGAGACTACGCTGGGGGACACCGTTGGCGAAGTAACCCCTGAGACTGGGTTGGTTGCGATCAAAGGCATTGGTGGGTACTTCTTATCGAACCAGTCAAGAATCAGCGCAAAGTCCGGTCCGGTCTCAAGCGTCAAGAAGGTGAGGTCAGGGTAGATAGTGTCCGAAGCCCAGTAGCCTTGGAACTTACGGGGGTCTTTGCCCAGGGTACATTCAGGTAAAAGCATCACGTAGATCGGAACGGTTCCGGATTTGGATTGCTCAACCACCCCCTCACGTAGCTCCTAGGTGTTCCGTTCATACCGATCGTCGATAACTGCAGCTGCATCGTGATGGTGGTTGAGGAATTGGGAGCCAGATCGAACTTGAAGTTGTTCAGGAAATCGAATATTCGGTTTGGGGTGCCGCCGTTGCCCATGGGAACCTCAATGTGGCTGGGATCCGTGCCCGTGTACACAGCTGGATCGGAGACAGGAAGGAGCATGTGGAGTGGCAAGGAGAAATAAGGGTTGCTGAAGGTAGTCGTGATCTCGATCATGCCATCGTTACTGCAGTTGGCGGAACTTTGATCTTCCAGGTCGCGCTGTAGGGAGGAGCGTTCTGGAACGTTTCCAACCCCGCGGGGATGACAGTCTGAGTAACAAGACTTTGCAATCCAGCAGCCAGGGCAGGGTTCTTGCTGACCCCAGGGAAGCCGTACATGGTGACCGTCGTGTTTTGGTAGAAGAGTTCAGTCGCCAGTTCAGATCCACCAGGTAATGTATTATCGATAGCGGCCACAGCCTGGATCAGATTGTCTCCAGGGACCAATATCAAGTCGGTGATTTGCGAGTAGCCAGCAAAGCCTGCATCTGTGGTGTCTTTGCCCATCTTCAAAGTCAAATCTCCAATATTGAGGGTCAGCTTGCTGGGATTGACAATGTTAACCAGGAGCGTGGAGGTGATACCCCCAATAAAGTCGTAGCCCAGATTGGTAACATATTCGATCTTCTGCAGTCCTTGGAGGCCAGCCATCGATGTCTTGACGTCCAACTTGATGCCCTTGACTTCGACCTGACCAAGTGCGCCGAGATCCAGGATCGAGTCGGCTGTTCCGCGAAGCCCAAGCTCATAGGTCGTGGCCATGTTGAGGTCTCCGATGAAGGCAGAGTAGATCTCGTGCGAACCATCAGCAACAACCAGTGGCGCAGAAGGGGCCGTGGATGTCACCGTGTTGCCGGATGTGGTGGCTGGAGCATAGGGAGTGCTGAGGACTCCGACCACTTGACCATCCTTGTCCAGGATCTCGACGTTCTGGCTGAGCTGGACAATCGGCGCACCGTTTGCGAAGGGGAGGTTCGTCTTGGCCGTGATGGTCGAGATGGCGGTCGGAGACCACACGCACGAGTCGCAGGAAAAGTCCATGGACATGGCGTCGATGGCCACCGACTCGATTGGCGGCTCCGTCAGAGGTGGGAGGCTGGTATGCAGCACCAGCGACTTGATTGCCGCATCCAGCCATGAGAGGCCGGGTGCGCCCGTTCCGGTAGCATCGAGCGGTGTCGCAGTACCGCCGAGCGCGTTCTGGAAGATGGCAGCCAGGTATGGCCTCAGGTCACCGTTGGCTGACGAGATGGTCGCCTTCAGTGCAAAGCTCGAGTTGCCGTGCGGGAGCAGCGTCAGGCCCTCGGCCACAGCTGGTCCGAGCACCTTGCCGTGGAAGCCAGTGTCGAAGTTCGAGACCGGGATGGTCAGGCCGATGGTCGAGGGGTTGGCGAGCGAGGCGCTGATGACCATGTGCAGACCGTCGGCGTCGATGGTGTTGATGATGTAGCTCGACAGCTCCAGGCCCTGCAGCTTGTTGAAGCCGTCGAGCGTCACCTTCTTGGTCATGGTCACGCCGGGGAGCGAGGTGCCCATGGCATTGACAACCAGGCCCTCGGTCGAGATCGTCCAGTCGAACTTCTCGTTGTTGAGCGCATAGACATTGAAGTCTGTGAAGGCTGCGAGGTCGGTGATGATGAAGGGCACGGCAGCCAGGTTCAGTGGCGCACCCTTGTTGGCGACCGCGTCCACCGTCGGCATCATCATTGTTCCAATTGGCTTGCCGTCAAACGAGATGGTGACGGGGTTGGGGAACTGGATCTGGGCATCCAGTGGGCCAGTGTCGGTGATGGCACCGATAATGTCGGTCTGGAAGTTGGTGTCGGTGGGGTTGAGGATCTTGATAGAGTCAAAGCCGAGGACGGAGCGCTCGACGAGGAGCTGGGCGATGGGGGTGCCGACGATGGGGATGAGCTTGAGGATGGTCTGGTCCGTGGCGGTGGGGACGCCTGTCTGGGTGTAGGGGATCGTGACCTGGTAGTCGCCCAGCTTGACGGTGGTGGTCATCTCGATGTCGACGCTGAGGCCGGCCATGGCCTTGATGGTGAAGTCGGCGACGTTGAAGCCGTCGAAGAGGCTGGCGGGAGGGTTGCCGCCCTGCTGGAGCGAGAGCAGGCCGTCAAAGGCGTCGGTGTTGATGCCGTTCTTGACGGCCTGGGCGCGGATCAGGGTGACGAGGTCGTGTGGGTCGGTGTTCATGGCGAGGCTGGCAGTGATGGTGCCCTGACCAGTGCCGGGGATGACGGGGGGCGAGCTGAAGGTTGACACCACGGTGCCGAGCGAGGCGCCGTTGTAGGTGATCTTGGAGTCGATGGACAGGATGCTCATGGCTGGGACGAACGGGTTGTTGACCGTGACCACGGTCTGGGCGATGCCGTTGGCGAGGGTGGTGTCGAGCACAACCAGCGAGGCTCCTGCCAGCAACTTGGACTGCAGCCCAGGCATCTGTGTGCCGATGTTGAGTGCGCCAAAGGCCAGGGTCAGCGAATCGACAGTGGTGCTGGTGGGGGTGCCTGCAATGCTGACCTCGGCACCGGCGCCGCTGGTGTACAGGGTCAGCAGCTCCATGCCCTCGGGTGAGGCTGCGGGATTGATCGTGGACGAGGCCTCGACAGTGTTGGCGCCGGGGACAATAGCCAGGTTTGGCATGGTCACTGTTCCGAGACGGACACCCTTGTACATCAGGTCAAGCACAATGTCACCCGCATTCAGCGAGATCGACGACGGGTTCACGATCACGACGGTGATGGCCATGGTCAGGTCCGTGGCGGTGCTGGACACCACCTGGAGGGCCGTGATGGTCGGTGCAGGATTGGCAAGGCTCTGCAGACCGCTAAGCTCGGTCGTGGCGTTGAGCGGGATGTTGACGAGGTTGACGACACCGATGGAGGTGTTGGCAAAGACCGAGGCCTTGCCCACGACATTGAACGGCAGATTGGCGCCGACAGTCAGGTCGCGGTTGAACTCCTGAAAGGCCTGGTGGGCGTCCTCGGGGACGAGCAGAGGAGTGGCCAGCAGGTTAAAGTTGAGGGTGCCCGCAGCCATGTTCGAGGTCGAGGGGTTGTAGGACGAGTTGAGGTTGGCAATGGTGATGTTGTTGCGGCTGAGGGCCAGCTCGTTGGCGACCTGAGTGAACTGGATGTTGAACCCAAAGCCGTCGGGGAGCGTGTAGTTGGCCAGGACACCGGTCGAGGTCGTCACGGGTTGGTACGCGGTCGGAGGAGTGAAGGTCAGACCCAGGGCCCCGAGGTTCAGGGCTTTGATCAGCTGCAGTGGCGTCGGGCTCTGGAGCGGGACCGTCAGCTTCAGGTTCTTGATTGCCGCAGACAGCCAGTCGACCGAGTTGACGCCGTCAGGCTTGACCTCGTAGCCAGTGGCAATGGTGTCCGTCACGGCATTGCCGATGTAGCGGGACATCATCTCCGAGGTGTCTGCGAGACCCTCGACCGTGGCCTGGGGGATCAGCACGCCCTTCATGCTCAGCGTCTGCGGGCCGCGGGCCATGGTCAGGTTGTTGGCAGTGACATATCCCATGACCGTGTTCTTATACGAGATGGCCAAGGTCAAGCTGCCCATGTACATCTGGATGGCGGAGGGGTTGGTGACGAGGGTGTCGATCTCGATGATGATGCCGTTGCCGGAGGGGTCGTCGCCGGGGAGGGAG